CACACACACACACACACACAGAGTTTCTCTGTAGCTTTGAGGCCTGTCCTGGAACTCTGTAGACCAGGCTGGCCTTGAACTCACAGAGATCCTCCTACCTTTGCCTCCCAAGTGCTGGGATTAAAAGTCATGCGTGCCACCACCGCCCAGCAATGATTTTTTTTTTTTTCAAATGAGACTCAAAAGTTAAAATTCATACATTGGGGTTATTTTCAATGATTTGGTTATTTTTACTTTCTGTTTGTTAGTGTTTTGCCTTCGTGTATGTCTGTGTGAAGGTGTTGGATCACCTTGGACTGGGATTCCAGACAATTGTGAGCTGCCACGTGGGTGCTGGTAGTTGAACTCTGGTCCTTTGGAAAAATAGCTAGTGCTCCCAACCTATAAGCCATCTTTCTAGCCCCTAGCTTTATTTTTGGTTCTAGTTTTTTTTTTTTTTTAAGACAGGTTTTCTCTGTGTAGCTCTGGCTGCCCTGGAATTCACTGTGTAGACTGGACTGGCCTTGAACCTGGAGATATATGCCTGCCTCTGCCTCTTGAGTGTGTGTTAAAGGTGTATACCACCTCTGCCCAACTAACATTGGTTTTTAAAGCCAAGTGTTCTAGCCCAATATAGCTAAAAATATTCTGATTTTATACTTAATATACCAAGAAGTGATGATAGAAAAATAATCTTTGTTTTCTATAATGTTTTCCTAAGAACAGAAAGCTGTACATACAATAAAAATGCATGTTTTTCTAACATATCATAGTCTTAAATTTGAGCCCAGGTTCTGCATGGCTTGGCTGCGTGTGTATTCCAAAGTAGTCGTGTGAGTTGAGAAGTTGTGGTGAAGTTGCATGAGGAAACACGGATGTGCATTGCCACGAACAAAACACCTTAGATTCATTGCATGTTTGCTTTTGAATTAAATTTTGGTTTTTGCACTTTAGGGAACCTTTTTCTGTTGTCAAGTTACGTGACCCTGGGTGGGTTGTGGCTCAGTTTAGAAGCTGTGTTTTGTTACAGTGGTTGTCTGTCAGTGTACAAGGCTTCCCTCTTCTGTACATTCTCCCTTCCTTCCCCAGTTTCTGTGAGTCACTGTTCTGGTGTGCAGTGATAGCTCATGCCACTTAATTGACACTCCTGTGCTGATGGGGGATGTTGAGCTTTTTCCTCCCTCCATATGTCTTCTGGGTATATCTTATTTTTGCTGTATCATTTGCGACAGTCTTATCTGGCAGAAATTTGAGCTTCTGATCTCCTTTCCCCACCTCATAGTGTACCCTGTTGATGCGGGGCTGAGGGTGGAATACAGGCTTTGTGCTCTGCTGAGCTGCATCCCTACCCCAACAGTTTCAAACAAATTAATAAACTGTAAATACCCACTGTGTCTTCCTAGATCTGAATTTTACAAGCACATTGTGCTTTCTGGAGGCTCAACCATGTACCCTGGACTGCCATCGAGGTTGGAACGAGAGCTTAAACAGCTTTACTTAGAACGAGTTCTAAAAGGAGATGTGGAAAAACTTTCTGTAAGTATCTACAGTAACTATTGCCATTGTTTAATAGTCAGTGAAGTAACTTGTGGATCTTGACAACCACTAGATGGAGCAAGAAGTCTTATAAATGGATTCCTATACAGTCAGCCTCTGCAAGACTTGAAGAGCCTCTAGAGAAATTGTCCATTTGTTGTATATCTTGTCTCCCCAGTCATACTGTGTTCCCAGAATTACCACAGCTTTTGAAATGGACTTTATTGGTAATTGTTGCCATTCACTAGAATACAATTGCTGGTGGTTCTTTGGCATGCCCTTTTTCCTAGCTTTGGACTGTGAAGTATACTGTCTGCAGTATGGGTGTAACCCAGGTCCTTTAACCATGGCTTAGTCTCTGGGTTTGTCTTAACTATCTATAGCTACCTATTTTAGATAATATTATCCATTTCTGAAAACTGTGTATAGAGACACTGATACTATAGTGCTTTCTAAGTATTTCACTCACATTTCTCATTTCATTGGATTATATAGAAAATTTAAAGATCCATCTCTGGTGACCATTTATTCTGCAAACTTTTGAGGAAAAGAGATTATAAAGCACTATATTCTGGTAAAACCTCACTGAAATTGATTCTGCATACTCTGATCCCCTCCTGCCCCCACACACACACATTTTCTCAGGTCTTCAGAGCTGTTGGACCCAGGACCACACACATACCAACAAGCAGTCTAGTACTAAGCCACACTGTAAGCCCAGGAAGCACTGCACTAGAACTGATATAGGCCATGGGAACAAAACAGTGGTAGACAATAAAAATTGCTGCTGTCAGTTTGAGTAACTTAGCACTAGGAATAATAAATGGCTGGGGTGGGGGTGGGAGATAGAACATGGTTGTTGTTGGTAAGGGGTGTGCTCCCTCATGCTTACCAGAAAAGGCCTCTGAAATGCCTTTAGCTCATAGACCTGTGTCAGGTTAGGGCTGATCATTTCTAGTCGAGAGTAGTGCAGAGGGTCTGAGTTGGGAGGAATGTCTGTGTGAATGGAACAGAGTAAACAGGAGGTGAGAGATGAGGTCAGAAAACCAGCAAGCAGGACATGTCAGCTATGGTAAAGATGAGAGATCCTGAGGGTTCTGAATAGAAAAATGGTAGACTCTGACTCACCCCTTAAGAGTCCAGAAGCCCAGTTTGGGGGAAAAGGACCTAAGAGGGTTCAGACAGGAAGCCATGAGAGAGAAAGAGCTGGTAGAGATTAAATTAGTGGTTAAAATGGTTGTCTTCGAGAGTGGGGAAATAGACAGCCAGACAGCATGACAGACGTGCGCCATCACTGCCTGGCGCGTTAAGCTGTTTGAAAAAACAGGTTCAGGTTGATTACCTGAGTTGGTATTTTGCCAGGTGAATGAATGTAAGGAGGAGAGAAAAAAGTCATCTATGATAATGTAAAGAAACAAGGGGAGCTGGGCGATGGTGGTGCATGCCTTTAATCCCAGCACTCGGGAGGCAGAGGCAGGCGGATTCTGTGAGTTTGAGACCAGCCTGGTCTATAGAGCTAGTTCCAGGACAGGCTCCAAAGCTACAGAGAAACCCTGTCTCGAAAAACAAAAAACAAAAAA